GTCACGGGAGAAGGACACACACAGCCTGCCCAGGTGGACGCGCGCGAACGCGACAACGAACGTAGCGTGCGCATTCTAAAAATAGCTCACAGATGGTGAGCAGGTACCGCGGTTTTGAACTACAGTGTTGAGATGTGAGTTGGTTTATTCAGTAAATTAGTTTAGGATAATTGGATGTTCTGTCTACACCTGTTGATGTGAGGCTAATGCAGGATTTGCTAGCTTGATGCTACCGGCATTTAGCGGCAGTGACTCAACAAATTGCCACTCAGCAATGTATGACAAGCAGACTGCTTGTTTAATGTTAGACTCACACCAATAGCACAATATGATCATAACACGATTGCTTCCATATCAGAGATCAGATGAGGTGGAGCTGCCTTCAGCAATAGAGGATGAGGCAGAGAGAAGCAGCAGCAGCACAGGGTTGCAGCAGGTATGTTATATGCTGTAGTCAGGCGATTTAAATGTATCAATGAAAGGAAGAAGTGTAGGCTACATGATAAGAAGGGAATACAGTTTGAATTAAAGTAATAAAGTACAGTGTAATACTGTACTTTATTACTTTTTAATGTACAAATACTTTGTTACTGTACGATATCAATAACAATAATCCACAGCTCCTCTCTCTGCTCCAGAGGATAAAAAATCTTTCGGGATACCCGAGCAGCACCCTGCCAAGGCAGTAAACCTAGGGGAAACACTGCCTCACCCCTCCCTCTCTGTGATATGAGTGCATGCAACTCTGCCTGTATACCCTGCCTGTCCAAACTAACACACAACTGACCTTTGGAGCTCCTCCTCTCCTTGGCCTTGTAACAGTCCAAGCAGACAACGAAGCCACACTTCTGACAGACCCAGTGGATGTTGAAGAGCGTTGCCTCGCAGGCGTCGCACATCTCCCTCACCCCCCTCACAGCTCGCTTCCACACCACCTTGGCTGAAACACACATAGAATATTAAAAAATCAAAAACAAAGTTATGGTTATTTATTTCAAATGTCAGCCATTTTTGAAGAAACTCGCCATCTTTCTTGACCCAGGTGGCTGCTGTGTTCTCGGTCACAACCATCTGACAGAACTTGTCTCCTATGAAGCTGAGGATGTACTTGGCTGTGTTTTGGTCCAGTTGGGTGTCCTCCAGCCCGGGGACCCACAGGGACAGGGCCTCGTCATCAAACTGCTCCGGGTTGGAGAAGCCATCCATCCGGAGGACTCCATTTTTACTGAAGGACAACCTGGAGGGGATGGAACAGGATACCATCACACAGTGTGTCAAGAAAAGAACGAAAATAGAGAAAAGATGATGAGCATCCTTCATGAACACTGGGGAGACTTAGATATCACAAATATTCTCATAAGCTCACACAGCATGATGTAGAAAACACTGAAAACTGAAAGATGGCCCACTGGTATATTATATTTGCCTTCTGTTTAAATTGCAGTTCCACTTTAAAGCCCACAGAGTGCAGATACATTATATCATAATATATATCATAAAGCTAATAGTGCCACACGGCTTATTAAAATCACTGCTTTCATCACTAAAAATAGAAAAGGCATAGTGACTACTCCACTGTGAGAAAGGAGATTTAGAGATGCCACAAGTCAAATCCGGACAAATGCTGATGTAGCTGTTGAATTATTTATTATTGTGTGGTACAGATTATTAATATGCTTTATCTGACAGTAATTGATGAACAGCAACAACAACACAAATCCCTGTACCATGGTATTTGCAGGGACAGTACAACAGCATCAAGCTTTCCCTTTTACAATATGGCAGTTATAGGAAGTCACAAAGAGACCACCCTTACTGCTGCTGCATATTGAAATCATGCAGTGAAGAAAGCAGCTGCAAGTGTTTTATATGAAAACAAGCATCCTCTTTATCCTGATGTGCCTCTTTATTTCCAAGCTTTTTATAATATCTAAAGTACCCCTGAGGTGAATTGATATGAATACATCCTCATCAGTACAAAACACTCATGTGTAGAATTCATATGCAAGGAATTCCTGGTGCTGAGTAACAGAATGAGAGGAGGGTGTTGTAGATGAGCCCTCTCTCTGTAAACCCTTTGTGTTCAACTCTGTCCTTAAACAACCCGGGCAGCTCAGGTGAATGTTCTGCTGGGCCAGAGAGAGAAAGAGAGAGAGAGAGAGACAGGGAGAGGAGGGGAGATAAGGTGAGAGAATGAACAGGAAGAAGAGATGCAAGGAGGGGAGGCAGGGGAGACATAGACATTTCAGCAGCATGTATGTGTGTGTGTGTGTGTGTGTGTGTGTGTGTGTGTGTGTGTGTGTGTGTGTGTGTGTGTGTGTGTGTGTGTGAGAGAGGGAGACACAGACAGAGGCAGTACAAACTGTACCAGCCCTAACATTCATATTCTATGTGTTTCTATTCTGGATGAGAAAAGTCCTTGCTTCCCTTCCCCTCTTCTCTTTAGAGAGAGCCATCTTAAAGCTACAAAGCATCATGGAGCAGTTGTTTCTCCCTGAAGATCAGGAAGAGAGCATAGCATCAACAGAGGGGTCTGAGGAAGAGTTTAGGGGGGGGGGCTATTACAGCTGCATAGAGTTTTAGGGTCCCACAGGATCAATAGGATGAATATATGTCTGCTTGATGGGTGTAAATGTTGTCAAAGTTAGGTTTGCAAGTTTTACCGTCTGAAATAGTAGAAGCGGCAGAAGACGGGGGAATGTGCGGGCTCCTCCCCCTTCTTGCTGCGGATCACCCTGCACTCCCGACACTTCTGCAGGTTGGGTCCAATTTCAGCACACGAGTCGTCCTGAAGAAAAGACTCTCCCGTCTGCTTCAGCTTCTTCACCTTCCTCCAGTCCTTCAGGACGGAGCGGGGGATCCCATCTGAGAAGAGAGACCCTATTATTAGGTCACTGATAGTACCAACAGTTTTTTATGACTAGATAAGCAATTCAATTTCAACTCTTATTCCACATAATATGGTCACTCTATGGGTTTTCCAACCATTGTGGAAGCAAGGATGTAGAGAGAAGATTGAAATATATATGAGCCATCTCATATTCATATTTTTGGCTTGTTTTATAATCCGGGATACTTAAATAGATAAACATAACTTCAAACAATTCTTAAAAATAAGCAGTTTATGGGGTAAGAAGTGGCAAATATCTTGACATGCCGTGTAGGTGTAATAAGTATTATATGTGCAATAGTTGATGAGTTGATAAAAAGTGGATATTCTACATACGTTATTCTACATTCTGTCTTTGTGCCAAAGAGCACGACTAATGTCTAAAAAGTATTTTTTTAAAACCAAATCAGTTAGCCACACACACTTCTTTCATTACCATGAACACACCCACACTGTAGATAGTACCGTCTGCTGCTGTTAATACTCACTACTGTACCAAATGTGGATTTATCAGGCGCTAAAAAAGCCCCAGGGGGCTTGGGGCTGAAACAGATTAATACTTTCAAAGTCTTTCAATGACATTTGGTAACAAAAACAAAACCACAGATACTGCCAGTCTGTGATCCGTCTGGTTGCCTGGGAAACTGTTGAGGGAAGACAGACAGACTGTGATGAGACTTACTGCTGCTGGCCAGCTTGAGTTTAGTCTTCTCTCGGGCTGATCTGAAGATGCCGTTAGGTTTCAAGTCGTCTTCCTCCTTCTCATTGTCTCCTTTCTTCTTCGCCATGTCGTTCTGTTTCTTCTTGTAGGTGGGTTTGGGCTGGCGCTTGGCTCGGCCCTCCATTTTGCTCTCGCTGGCATCAGAGTCGTCTCCCCCGCTCTCTGAAGCCGACTCGTATGTGCGCTTGTTCCCTCGCCTTAAAGAGGGAGGCACTTTCCTCTCCTCCCCGCCGCCTCCTTCTGCTCCTCCCACCTTCTCCTCCTGCTGCCTCTCTCTCTCAGCTTTGATCACACTGTCTTTGCTCATCTCCACCTCGCTGGAGGTGGAGGCGCTGAGATTGACGGTACAAGGTTTGATCATGTCTGACATGGCTGCGGTGTTACTGGTGCTGGTGGTGGGCACTTTCTCTGGTTTAACACTGGGGGGGGTTGTGTTAGCAGTTGTGTTCCTGTCCTCCTCTGAGTGGCGGGTTAGCCAGGCTTTCTTCAGCTTGTGGTAGTTGCTGGGCTGCACACTGGAGGAGACTGAGCTCTGGCCGTTGGGCAGGGGGCTGGACTTGCCTGTCGTTGTGCTCCCGCCCACCGAGCTGTTGCTACTGCTGTCCACGGAAGATGATGAGGCTTGGCTGGAGGAGGGTAGTGGGGGGGAGTTTTGTATAGGAGTTTTGTCAGCTGAGTCCACAGGTAGGAAGCAGTTCCCAGTTGTGATGGCTGTGGGAGCAGAGGAGAAGTTGGTCCTGGATTGGGCTGCAGCCAGGGCAGCTTTGTGCTTCTTTAGGTGGACAAAGGAGGGGGAGTACGGCTGACTTGAGCCAGAAACAGAGCTAGGTGTTGGGGTGATGCTAGGACTGGGCTGGGGTGTCCCTGCTGGACTAGGGGGTGGCAGAGAGCCCCCTGGAGATGGAGTGCGTAACACTTCGTGGTACTCTCCTGGTCCTGAGTGACTCAGCACCCAGCCACCAATGCCAGTTTTATGGGAGGAAATGTGAGCTGATGAGGAGTAGCCCAGCTCAGGGAGGGCGGTGCCACTCATACTCTGGATGCCAAAGGCTGGAGAAATAGTCCTGCACACAGAATTAGACATACTAGCTCCCATCATTCCTTGCATGCTACGCATAGAAGTGTTGTTATACTGTACACACATGTCGTCCAGGTTGGAGTTGGGTTGGATGATCCTGCCAACGTCTCTGAACCCCTCCCCTCGCCTGAGACACTCGCCCTGAAGCTTGGATGAGTAGAACCTCCCCTGGGGGAGTTCCTTAGGGATCGTAGTACTAGATTTGTTAGCACCAACAGGAATGTCGTACTTAATAGAAGTGGATGGACGCACAATGACTGACGCCATTGCAGATTGGGGCTTTCCCCTTGACATCCCTTTCTCTCCGGAGAAGGAGCCTCCTCTCTCTCTCCACGCGTCTGCAGAGAAAGTCGTGACCTCCCCGCTGATGGCTGCAGCTACAGACGTTACCACGGCAGCGTTTCCGTGACCTTTGGTGTCCCTGAGTTCCGGCAGCAGCGTGGGGGGCTTCTGCTGCTCCGCCAACGTCTTGCTGCCAGCTGCCGCTAAGCTTACCGGCTGAATGGGGGTGAGCGTTGGGGGAGACAGGCGTCCACCGTAACTGGCTCTGTCCCTCTCTCGCTCTCTCTCCTTCTCCCGCTCCCTCTCTCGCTCTGCAGCCTCTTTCCTTTCCAGTGCGTGTTGTGTGGGCGGGTGGAAGACGGGCGCTCGGTGGAGAGATGGCATTGCCCTGAGCTGCTGCTGCTGCTGTTGGTGCTGCTGCTGCTGTTGGTGCTGCTGCTGTTGGTGCTGCTGCTGCTGCTGCTGCTGCTGCTGTTGGTGCTGCTGCTGATGGTGCTGCTGCTGCTGCTGCTGTTGGTGATGGTGATGGTGCTGTTGCTGCTGCTGTTGCTGCTGCTGTTGCTGCTGCTGTTGTTGTTGTTGTAGGTGGTGCTGCTGCTGCTGTTGTTGGTGCTGCTGCTGCTGTTGGTGGTGCTGCTGCTGCTGCTGTTGTTGTTGGTGCTGCTGTTGTTGGTGCTGCTGCTGCTGTTGGTGCTGCTGTTGCTGCAGTTGGTGGTGGTGAAGGTGGTGGTGAGGATGATGGTGGTTTGGTGCTAAGGAGGAAGATGTAGAGGAGGAAGGAGAGATAGCAGGGCTGCGGCGCTCCATCCTGTCTAAGCCTGCATGATGCTGGTGTTGCTGTTGCACCAGAGTCACCTGCTGGCTGAGCTGCTCGTTGATCTTCCCCGCTAAACCCTCCCCCCCCTCTGGCTGGTGCTTGATGAGAGGCGGGGGCTTGGAGAGGGAGGCTTTGGAGCTGTAGCTGCCTAGGGACAGAGCTCCCTGGCTGGGCACGGCGGCTCCAACGCTGGCCACGACTCCTGGAGCTCCGCTAGAAACATTCTCATAGTAAGAGCTGAGCTCCTTGGAGGAGTAGAGTCTGGGAGGCTCATTCACTACACTGTTGGACAGCGTGGTGAAGTAGTTGCTCTTTTCTGATTGGATAACGTGGGGATGGATGTGGCCCGCCTTGGGGTTTGGGGAGGAGAGTGCGGGGACTCGGACAGGGAAGGCTGGGTCTCTGCTCCTCTCACGGTCCCGGTCCATGCCCGGGTCACTTGAGCGCTGGATCTTAGCCATGTAGGGAGCCACCTCGATGCTCTCCTTCAGGATCTGCCGATTCTCCTCTTTGTATTTACTGGCTCGATCTGCTGCCTGAACCGCATCCTGTGGAAGAAAATATAAAATAGAATGTTGATTTCTCATTTTCAGACAGACAGATGCAGCACTTCTTCAACAGGTCATTTGATTAACAATGTAGTAGTGTCCATCTCCAGTACTAAGACAGAGATCACTGTACCTCAGCACAGGAGAGAAGGAAACAAAAATGCCCCTTTTCCACCAAACCAGTTCTAGCTCCTTGCTTATGCTTTTCTGATTCCGAACCGGTTCTTGTGTTTAGCCCTAGTTGTGTTTCCACCGCCCAGAGCCCGACTGGTGCTGCATCATGACATCACTGTTTACGTTGCTGATTTTCTCCCCAACGCCGTTCACAACCACAACAATGGGAGGCTGAGTCGGGTTGATGATCGTGTTGCTTTTAATCAACCAGATTAAATTAAAGAACGACTTCTCCAAAGTTGTACTCTTTCTCCAGATTGCCGTATTTCATTGTTATTAATGTGGTTCAGCTGCATTTACCGACCGCTGCAGTCCTGCTCGTCCACCGGAGTTTATTCTACCGTTAACTCACGGCAGAGTTTAGTCTCCCGTTAACTCACGGCAGCGGCCGCTGGAAAGTATTCACTGTCTGACTGTCACACAAGCAGCTGATACATATCCCCCATCCCCATAAGTGAATGTGTGTCAGTCTGAATTGACGCTGTTTGGCATCACAACGCTGTTATGAAAGTTTCTCTGGTATAAAATGGCTGATGTTAGCATAGCAACCGAAGCTAATCTGACTATCTTGACTACTTGCTATCCTTTTTTGCATAAGCCGTTTTCTACAGGCATATTTTACCGGCGTATTTGTCATTATCATACTAAGCCTGGTAAGTGTTGCCTGACTTTATAAAGTGTGTTTTTTTTACAAGTGTGTGGCCGCTACTGCTTGTTTCCTTTTATTTGCCGTACTCGCCACAAACTGTTATTGCTCAGGTTAATCTCGCCCCCCTCCGACGTAAGCGTTACGTATTGGTTCTTCTTGCCGGGCAGCGGAGTGGGGCCAGCTAAGAACCGGTTTCCGGTGCTTAGAGCCGACTCTGCTGCGATGGAAACAGGAAGAACCAGAGCTTAATCAGGGTCTAACCCGGAACCGGCCCTGCAAACGGTTTGGTGAAAAGGGGAAAAAGAGTTCTTATTTATTAAAAGAAAGAAAAATCGTCTGGTAATATATGAGTTATTTTAAACCATATTTCCACCACACAGATACATTTGTTTACCTTTTAGTCTTTTCTTTTTTTCTTCATCAGTATTGCATGTTGACTCAGTGTTTGATATCAGTTCCGTTTCCTAATCGTCTTGTCTTATGGCGCATTTCCACTACAGCGCGGAGCTCGCTTTAAGCATGCAGAGCCGTGCAGGGCCCGTTTTTGGTTGCGTTTCCACTAGGCGTAGTATCGGCTAGCGGGTACTATTTCACAGTTTTCTGGCCCCATAAAATCGAGGATCTTTCTGGGCCAACAACCAGGCTGAGTTGGGCTGAGTATGCTAAACTAGAGAGAAAATCGCTGGCAAGGGGGCTACAACTACAACAAAATGAACATATTTGACAGT